ATGCACGAGTGGCGCGAACATTTTGCGGTCTGATGAACAAAGAAAAATGTTTTTTGGCATGTAGCTCATGTGAAAATTTTTAACGTGCACAGCATGCACAATAAACAACTGCTGAACTACGGACTAGCACAATGTGTCACCACGCATGCGCAATGCATGCCGCGATGTGTTCCTAGCCCTTTCACAATTTTCATTGTGCATTCCTCTGTTTCTAAACCTTTTTCATTTGTGTAATTTCACTTGCTCTCCATCAAAAACTAATTCTGTGTTAGCGTATAGCCCGGAAGCAAAGTTTGCATTTATTTTGTGAAATAGATTGAGTTCAAATTAAGGTGAGTGCAGGATTGCAGAGGTGCATTCGATTTTGTGCAAAAATGAATGCCAACATTCTAAACCGGTGCAATGAGATATCGAACACTGACTTCATATGACTGAATACACCATCACTGAAATAGACTTTTTATTTGTAAAATACAGGGATTTGAATGCTCATTCTATTTTGCTCGAAAACGAATGCTGCCATTACAAATTCATTTACACATTTCCAGAAAGTGGCCGGCAAAACCTCTATTTTGTACTGGGTAATCAGTGTGTTTCCTAGTTTTGTTTGTTTTCGCAATGATCTGGATCACTGGATCTGTGACGACACCCACAGGACCCCTATTTCCACTCTGCCAACTCACACCACCCACCTCTCTTGCAGACTCTTCCGGTGTAGTCGCCTGCTGTCCGCGACTGGCCCCGGACTCAGCTCCTCCCCACTGGATGGCCCGCTGTTTGGGCTGACAAACGGCTGGAAGCTCGGCAGGGCCTGCACCTTCTCGGGCTCCTTCAGACTGCGCTGGAGCTTGCGAGATCGCTTAAAGCCTGAACTCTTGTTCTCCTCAAGTTTGGCTTGTTTGGCCTGTTGGAGGTACACAGTAAATATTGTCACCATTGTCACCATTGTCATGGACTCAAATGTTCATACATGTACTATCGAAGAGATACGGTAACTCCCTAAAGTAACCAATTCACGTTCCCCTTGTATATGTATTTGACTCTGGGCTCTTCAAAACAGGGGGTACTTCAATGGAACAATATTGTGCATATGTACTCGGATAATCAATGATAAAGAAACTTATTTCTTTGCTGAATGCAACTCAGAAATTCAGGTGGTACATCAGCTTGTTTTAGGGTCTTTAAAACCTCTTTAATGACAACTAGCAAGAGTGATTTAGGGATGAAGGTCATGACTGATACTATGGAAATATCTTCTATTGGCAGGCAGTCTTGAATGGACGAGTAAGCTCCATATTAAAATATAATTGGAGCTGCATCCATTTAGCAAGTAGTCTATGTACTGATGATGATTTGCAGATAAATGTTAGGTAAGAAAAATCAAAAGACTGGGCTTGCGTGGGTATCAGCGCTGCAAGGCCACTGTTGACATCATTGGCCTTGGTCGGCCAGTTCACTGGGTATTTTGAACTCTGCTTGTTATAAAGAGCGCTGATTGTACTGGGCATGCTAACTGTCCCAAAAAAAGCCCTGATATGAATATTGACCTGTTGAGCTGCCAGGACCGACTTGGCCTTCTCCTTGGCATCCTCCTGGCTCATTTCTGCTGCAGCTGAAACCAGAGTAGGGAAAAAGGAATTGACTATTGCAATATTCTCCTCACCTGATGTGTCTCAAATTTAAATGAAAGGAAAAGTATTTCGGTTCACTGCAACAAAAAGTTGTACAACACGTGTAGATCTGACACATCGATTTGTGTCGGTGGCACATAACCTGCTTGAAGGCCATCTCTACATCTTCAAACCACCCACGAGATTTGCACAATAATGAAAATAATGTTCATTTTGGTGCCCAGATCAAAGACTGCTGCGGTGGCATGATGGAATGGAAGCAGCTCAAGAAACAAAAGGACCTGGGTTCAAGCCCAACATTGGTCATGATTTTTTTTATTTCTTTTCCTTATGAATTCCTCTGTTTATTTTCACTGGATGTTTTTCTTGGGAAGAGTTAAACCTCAGATAATTTTTTTTTTTTTGGGGGGGGAAAGGGGAGGGGGAGGAGATAAATCTGAGATCAAATGTTTTAGTTACAGAATGGTCTGGTTCCCAGCTACCATGCTGCAGATTGGTGCAACAATTGTAGACTGCAAGCAGTCCATAGTGTTGCATCTGTAGCCACTATGAATAGAAACATCGTTCCCCCATACATTTAACTTACGTCTCTTCAGGCTGTCCTGTGGTGTTATTGGGGCTGGCTTGCTCTTGTTGAGTTTCATTTGCTGTAAAACTTTCTTCTGCAAATGAAATCCACCAATAGATTTAAACAGTTCATAAAATTACAGTGTAAATAAAAAAAGTCTGGTGTCATACATTCAGCGATGGCTGTTGTATGTCCTTTCTACAACAACATGCTTTATGCTTTGTCGAGATCCCGTCAATAATGCAACAATGACATGCAACAGCTGTAGGGAAGACCTTTGCGAGTGCTCTTTACTTGACCTACAGCAACACAGCACAATATGGCTGCCACCATGGAAGTTTTTTGGGCAACTTTGCTCCACATTCGCTTCAAAATTTCAAGAGGGCCAAAGGTACAGAAAACAATATTTAGGGGCTGGTAACATTGTCAACATAGGTCTATGTCTTGTTGACTTTTAAGCTTCGAAAAAAAATTTCCAGCTTAGTTTTCGGCAACCCTTAGCAACGGGGACTCTCCACACATGAAGTTAATGGTATCGAGTGGCTCACTATACAGATAATTATGAGCCACATTCATGACATTATATGAAAATGGCAATATATACGTGCTTGGCTGGTCTTAAAAGTGCATTTAAGACCAGCTCATCAAGAACAGATGCGACTTATCGCAGGCAAGGGCATTATCAGCGTTTAGTCCCCTGAGCCAGTCTTAAACATTAGTTTACATGGTTTAAGACCAGCCAAGCACATATTGATTCCCTTTCAATTTCATAAATACCTTTTTAGTCCGAGTCAAAAGAAGTCAATATATGACAGATTTCCAATGTTTTTGTTCTAGAATTTATTTTCATTTTATTAACATAAAACGTTAATACACGATCAAGTTGCACGTTGTCGACCAGGGAGACTGTCAGAGCATGGTCTGAGGTAGGCCGGGCCTCGGCTAGGCCTATTAAATACAGAATACGCCTGATTATTATATCCTGGTGACCTGGACACCAACAGGTGACCAAGCAAAATGGACCTGTGGTCGACAAATAAACAGCCGTCACTCAAACTTGTCCAAATTATACTGTAGGTTTCCTCATCCTAGCTTGTGAAAACTGGCACTGGTAGCAAGTGGTTGCTGCATGTTGACCGCTTTTTTATACGCCATGGCTGTTGTTAGTACGTCATCGCACGTGCACAGTTCAGTGCCGTAACGATAGAAAATGAGAAATGCATTACGACTGCCGTAACGATAGCCACTTCGTTAAGTTGGCGCACTTGCAGTGCCGTAACGATAGAAAAAGGGAGATGTCTTTTGTACAGCTTCAAAATGTATCCAGGCCTTAGCCCTACCAAAAAAATAAATAAGAAAGACGAATCACCTTTTTCCGTATTTTAGCATATTTATTCTGTAGCATTTCCTCTTCCTCCGTTAGACGAGACGGAAAAACCATTTTCCACCGTATGAAAGGCAAAAAAGGCCTAAAATGCCTAGGCTCACTGACTGCCGACACTGTATAGCACTGACGGCAAAACTCCTTTTATCACAATATCAGTTTATCTTGTTTATTCGATTGGTGGTGATGTGTACATGTACATCGCACGTTGTAAACCGTAACCTTTCAGATTTAGACGGGGTACCAGTGGTTAATCTTATACACCCGCTTGGAGGCGCTATTTATTTTATTATTATTGTAAACCCGAACCCGTACCCGTAAAACTGGATTAGCGCTACCTTCGTTCGTGCATCCGTGTTACGGCCTGTGCACCATTTTTGGGATTAAATATTCCGGAAGAATTTTTGATTTTCAGCAACCTGCAGGAGGCCGTCTTCCCCGTTGGTATAAATAGTACATCCCTGCTTCTGCAAGCGAAATTCTGTCGCCATGGTGGGGAAGAAAAAAGCGAAAATAACGTGGATTGTGGATCTCGCCCACTATTTGCCTCGCTTCGAAGACGTCTTTGACGAACAGACGTTCTACTGGACCGCCCTGGTTTTCGTCATTTCCACCTTTATAGTGGCATTTTTCCTGTCGCGGAGGATCAAAATTAAAAACTGCGACTTGCTGTAATTTAACGCTTGTAAAGTTTAAGCCCCTTCCTGGAGTAGTGAACAGCAAAACTGAACGTGTTTTGTGCTGCCCATTGTCACGAGTGTCGCCTTTTATTTGTGTCTGTGTACATTTCGCGCAATTGCAATGTAGTGGGTCAGTATCTGATACACCGTTACGTAATGAATGAATTGGACCCAACGCATGCATAATCATAGTATTAATGCTCACAATGCATTTATTTAAAAGAATGCACTATTTATTGAGGACAACAAGTTCATGTAACCTAAATTAATTCCACAGTTTTGACGTAAATGCTTCGTGTAATTTCGCCCCAGCACTGAGGTTGTGGGCTGGTGAACCGCGGCCTACGTTTCAGGCGGCGCACTTCTTCTGGCCTGTTCGATGGGCCGTGTGTACAGAGAAGTGTGATCAGATCGGAAACCACACGCACCATACCACCGGTGACCACATCCCGGATTTCATTTCCATTTGATAACTCGGATCAGGAAGATCGATGTCGGCCACAGTCTTGATGGATTTCTGCAGCGAAAACTTTGACAAGGACTTGAGGATTTGTTTATAACTTGTGAAAGGTGGTCGCAAGTGGAACCGAAAAAGACATTTGGGGTGATTGCTGTATACTGCCACTCAGCTCTCTGAAATGGGGAAAAGAAACAGCAAGTTGAGGCAGGAAACCCTAGCGGATCTTCTCGAGAAAACTCACTGTAAGTTGGTCTCCACTTCGCCGGTCATGCGTAGTTAACATGTTTGTGTATTCATATGGTATACAAGTAAGCTTATCAGTGAGAACTTCCTCATAGCCCGGATGCTACCGTGTTACACAATTCTATTCTCTGTAGGCTTAGGCCGTCTACAATGAAGTGATTGGTGCTACCAGAATTGTAGTAAATATTTTAACAATTCAGTAGTTGCCTCATGTTGTTCAAGCAGCCCAGGTTGTGGTATAAAAAGAAGATGTTCTACCCCTGGCAGGCTTATCCTGACTGATAATTACTTGGTATGTGAGACATGTATATTGAGGATGGGGATGTTTTTAATTTTATGAGTGAAGTTTTTTAAACTTTGAATTGTTCTCCAATCATGCCAATTGTGCATTAGTTGGCTAAAAACTTTTGAAATGCTAATTAAATGTCAGTTCATTTTTTGTCTTAAACAATTAAGTTACAATTAGTGACAGGTTTGATTCAAGTCTGCCACAATATTTTTCAGATTGTTTATCTTGTCTGTCCAAAGTTGATACAGTTTGTGACAAGCAATTTCATGCAGTCTTAGGCTGCATCCGAATCTCTTGTCTAGACTAGATCTAGGCCTAAGTCTTTGCTCCATTGAAAATGCGTGGAGATGCATAGACAATAGACCTAGCCGTAGCTCTGGAAGCCCATTTTGGATACGGCCTTAGTATGAAGATCTTTGTAGATATATGTTGACAACCTTCCAGGTTTTGGTGCATTTGGAACAGAAACGTGAAAAAGAGTGGTTGTAGTACATATACACTGTACATGTACATGTTTGATTTTGTTCAGGAACAGTGTACACATATTGTACATGTACATGTACACACTGTCACATGTACATGTACAATATGTGTACACTGTTCCTGAACAAAATCAAACCGGATATTGAAACACAACTGTTCGTTGCTTGTGTTACATCTATTTTTTAAAAGTTATTTTTATAATTTACTAATTGTGCGCTTACTTGTCTTCTTTTCCAGTTAACGAAAAGGAAATTCTGCAGTGGTAAGTTGAGTTTCAAGCAACTTTTAGACAATTTGTAACTTAACTTTGTACATATGCGTCTGGTGCATCCAGATTTCTGCCAGAGCCCATACGTAGTCATTGTGAGGTGTGAGTGTGATTGTGTAAATGTAACAAGAAGGGAATCGGTTGGGCATTCGTTAGTGATTCTGTTTTATTTCAACTGCTGTACCTCTCCAGTGTTAGATCTAGTCAGCTTTCCGTTTCCACCAAAGTGTTAAAAAAATCGATTTCACTATTTATTTCTGTTGTAGTTCAGAAGTCCAGTTGTCAGTTTGCCATTTGTACCAAATGGCAAATATTTAACTGTTGCATTTAACTAAAATTTGCTGGCTGGAACCGAGTAGATGATAAAATATCACTGTACGAGAGACATTCAGTCAATCAGTAAATTTTCAGTTGAAATTACATGTGACAAATTTGCAGAGGAGTCCCTTTGGCTGTCATAGCCTCGTTTGCCTTCAGTTGGGGCAGGTTCATTCTGATCTCATGGAAGCTAACATTTGACACTGTCACGTAGGTTGACACAACTTAAGTCCTTATGTGTGAACTTTTTTTTTTATGGCACTGATTAAGAAAGTGCATGGCCATGCTACATTTAATTTTCAAAACTCTGATTCTCATCATTTTGCACCAAGTTGCACGTCACAGATAAATCAGCAGTAAATCCCTGTGCAGTGTTCTCAAGTGGCAGTGTGTACACACAAACGAAACCCAACACACATTGTACATGTTCCTCGTCTTTCACTGCTCACTTACCAAACAGGAAGAGAATTTGGCTTTTGTTTTTTGTTTAAAGAAACCCACCAAGGTTGCTGTTTACTGTGTTTGTTGCTACAATAGTGAATGGGACATTTTACAAACGAAGGGTCCATTTTTGTTTTGTTTTTTGGTGTCCTTAACACCAGACATGATTCTTCATTTCAAAGAGTGATTGAGATGTCAGTGCAAAGTCCCTGTCAAACGAATAATAGTTATCTTAATGATATTCGCATGTCATATTGGCACCAGATCTGGTGTACATATAGGCCTAACAAGGGTTAAAAAAGTCACACTCTTGGATGATGAATTTACACAATGGCTCGTATGTATTTACATGTACAGTATTAAGGTTTGTACAGGCCCTCAAAACCTTGAAAAAATTATTGTGGTTGAATTCACTTCCTGTCGGTTAAGATGCTCTCAAAGTCTGGCCTAACACTACCAAATGGTTAGGGTACATGTAAGTACAATGTACATCAAGAAAATTGAGTGCAAGGTCTGAAATTTAAAACAAATTTGAGACCGTTTCAGTTTCCAGCTCTGTAAATACAGTAGCTCTTCCTCCATCATTTGTAATTCATCAGTTTTTTCTAAAGTTGATTCAGCACATTTTTATTTAGACATTTTGTTTTCAGACGATTTTATTTTGTTTCTTAGTCCTTGCATTTGAGCATCAACAAGTTCTTTGAAATACTTGTTTTTGTCTGAAATGAATTTTGTATCTTTATCCTTGTAATTGAACAGGACAAACAAGTAGAAAGTGATTACATGTAATTACTCCAACATGTACATGTAGCCTTCATTTGAACTGAACTATCAGCCTCTACTCTGTCATTGTTTCAAATTTTTTTATCAGTCACAAGTTAAAAGCCCAAATGCCAACAATGGGCAACTTTCCATTTTAAAGTGGAAATCGGTCGCAGTTACCAACCTCAATAAAATCATTTATTTATACACATTCTGTAAACAGAGGATTTTTCAAGAAATGAAACAGAAATAAAAGGTGATTTACCTACATGTACCGGTACATGTATTATTACCATTGTCACTTTGAAAAGTTAACTTTACTTATGGATTACAAATACATGTATCTTAAATTAGGTTGGTACCGGTACAGCAAAACCACTTCTTACCTTTTTCACGGAATTGCCTCAATGTTAACTTTTTTTGGTTGAATGAAAAATCTCTGGCAAGATCCTAATGAGCTCAGCTGAGCTCATTAAGATCTTGCCAGAGATTTTGAGCTTCGGTCGGGGCAGTTTTGGAAGGAACCCCTCCAAAAGCCACCTCTGTGCTAAAACCAATTGAAAATTTGGTTGGACCATTAAGGGCATCTACCGTAAATGTAGCTTCACCTGATACTGATACTTGCATGGGCATTGCAAGGTTGAAAGATCCAAGGAGAGGTACACCCTCCCCCCCAAAGAAAAATAAGTGTGAAAAAAACAAACAAAAGAAATGCATGAAAAGTATGGGGCAGTGCGGACATCTGGGACTCTTTAAAAACAGCAAGTCCTGCACTGATGAAAACTGTGACCACAGCGACGTACGTGCACATCAGCCAGTCAGAGGATTGGGTTACACAATCTTTTCTTTGATCAGTACGTCCCCGCTGCCTCATAGGATGAAAATTACAAATTTACGGTACTTGAAGGAGAACGCCTCAAACTTGACCCCCTTGCGCTGCTAATTGTTTTTCAGTTTGTTGTTGATGCGTGTTAACTTTCCCCCCCCCAAAAAAAAATATCATGGAAAAAGTGTTCCTCCACCCCAAAAAAATCCTAGCAATGCTCATGCATGCATGCACGCACATGTACATGTACAAACACATAAAGTTTGGAAAGGGCAGTTAGAAAGGGATGGCTGTGCCCTCCCAAATGCAGGTCTACATGTATGATGAATGCCTCCCCAACCAGTAGGTGGATCTTGAAGGATTGGGGCAGTAAGGGTAATTGAAATCCGTCTTCGATTCACCAGCATTTTGTAATTTTGAAATTTATCATCTTGGGACTGACAACTGTGTTCTTACTGTCATCATTTCTTGTGCAGGCACAAAGGATTCCTGAAGGACTGTCCCAATGGCTACCTGAATCAAGAAGTGAGTTTTGTTTTGGTTTTTTTGGTTGTTGCTTTTCTTGGTACAAATGAAGTGTGCAATTCAGGAATTTCACTCCTAGCATCGTTCAAATCTCCAAGGCCTTTTCTGTGGTCTTCAAAGTGTAAAAGTGTGTTAAAGAAAATGTATAAACGTGCATGTACGAGTACGTGTGATAAACGAGTGAAATGAGTTTCGAAGGCTTTTAATTCACAGATAAGTATGTTTTTTTCTGCAGGAGTTGGAAAGAGCCTATTCAGTTGGCCACTAGTTGTTCCTTTTGTTCACACCATGATACAGCACATTTGTTTTGCGCACAAAGCAACTCTCTCTCAAGATTGCTTTCATTCAGCAATTTTGGGTTTCACAGTTTGAACCAAACTTTTTAATACATTTAATCCAAAAGAGATGTTTATACTTTTCGCACAGCGGAGCTTAATATTGAACAATATTAAGTGCATACACATGTACATAAAATTAAGACTTACTGCTTGGACCCTACGGTACATGGATCAGTCTGTCAAATATGAGGTCGGACTTGTGACGTTTTCTGTCCGTGTTACACCTGACCCACAGTATACAATTTGACAAGAGATACATCATTGACATTGACTTCTAACTCTTCTTAGTTGTGTGGTAGGTAATTTACATTATTTAAATCACTCTTGGAAATCAAAGAAATGGGCTCCACACTCTCTAAGTCGTATATGGCAGATGTAACAAGGACAGGAAAAAAAAAGTGGACCCCCAGTTTATAGAATAACCCCCATACATGCACATGTACATGTACACAGTGCATGCACTTGAGACATTGTAACTCATCACCTGGGAATTCATTAAGTAAGGAATGTTGGTAAGAAAAAGTAAAAGTGACATCCTGAAATGAGAAAACTGATGATGTGATGCTTGTGCCAAACAGTTTGATGTTGCTCTTCCCCCTCTAAATTCAGGAAGGATCCCCTCCCCTCCTGTAGACCCCAAGGATTTTGCTCTTAATCCCAGCATGTCGCGAGTAGCAGCTCCACAGAATTCTCTCCTTAGTGTTACGTGCAAACTGCCCGGCTTTTATTTTCATAACGTGGAGCTCATCTCCTCTGACGTTTTTCTTTTCCTGGGGCGAAGTGGATTTTTATCTGCCAGAGTGGAATGCTGGATCCAGTGTTCCCATCACGTTGGAATTTACGGTCTGAGGGAAATGCTCTCAGCTGTCATATTGCGATGTACTTGAGAAAAATTCTTGAATGATATGTATGGTGAACATACATGTACCTCACGCATATAGAATTACTCAAAGCTCTAAGTGCAGTATACAATTTCATTGTGAACATTGCCAATTTGTTGCACGTAAAAGTAAGTGAAGTATTAACCTAAGTTAACACATTTGTTTAAATCTACATTAATGAAGGGGGGCAGTTCGTGCAGATTTCCAGCATCAGACTTATCAGATTAGGACACAATCCGAAAACTCTTGTCTTTGTCAGAAACTTCAAATGAAAATTCTTATGAAAATTGTGATTCAGTAAAACTAAAGTGGACATTGTTTTGTTGTGGTTCACTCCGTAAGCGTGAATGGAAAAGATTCCATGCATGTTCATTGTTGCGAGTAATGTGAGCCCCCGAAAACGAAGGAATAAGTAAAAAACAAAGCGATTGGGTACCAAGTGAAAGCGTTGCATACACCCTTCCAATGTGCAGCATAGATTGCAGACATGTACGGTATGTTTAAGTTTTGTCTTGTTTGTTTTTTTTTATTTTAATGTTTTGTTCAGATGGTAGTGATTGGTGCGACCTCATTCATAAAGCATGGAAAAATCCATATTTGAGTGGTCACATGCCAGCCATTTCTCACCTTGAGCCATGATAAACTGGCTTGCTCTCCCAACTTTGAATACATGGCATTCTTAGATGATCCCAATCTATCACTCAACATCCATCACAGTACCTTGCGCATGTGCTACCAGAATGATTCACACATTGGGATAAGTGCAGAGTGTGTCGCCTCCATGCCCACCGTGTCATCTCCGTACAGACTTGCCCGGGATTGACCCCCAATCGCAGTTATTTACTACTCTGCCTGATGGACTTGACTGAGCCGTGCGGCGTGCACCGTGGGGTGTGTTTTGATAAGCGGATTTCTCAATATTGCTTCTGCTAAAAATACTGCCAAGACGGGGGATGTTGATATGAAGTGGATAAAGGAAAATATCAATGCCGCAGAATTTGTCTTTGTTTTTCTTTCTTTTGGGGGGGTCTAATTGGTCACATGATGTCGCCGAGAGGGGGCAAAGCTCTTTCGGGGGGGGGGAGAACCACTCATCAGAAATCCTTCAGATTTTTTTAGTTTCATTTTTAATTTCTTTTCTGTTTTCCCCTTCTCTGTAATTTGAAAAAGTATGTCATCACTCTAAAGCTTATGATTGGTCATTTAACAAACAACTAGAGCATTTAGAGATGAGCAATATTACAGAAATTTTTCATGGAAGTACTCTTTGAAAGTCCAAGTACGAAGAATGTAATTGGTTTCCTGCATATTAGAGGATGGTGAAATGATGAAAGCTTTGCCGACTAGAACGTTAAGGGAGTTCTAAAGTCATGAACTGCAATGACCACTAGAAAAAAATGTACAGTAAGTTGACATTAGGATTGATGTCCCAGTGTTGAGATTCATTGCTTTAATACCTGTGCCAGAAATAAGAATGTTAAAGTAGAGATTGAAAAGATTTGAAAAAGGTTTATCGCTACTTGTTCTTCAGCGGTACAATATTGAGGCATACGGAATGATTTCTCTTCAAACAGTGTCCAATAAATCAAGAAGAGTTTGTACATGTAGGACCGATCCTCAAAGTTCCACTTTAATCCTACTGGGACGATGGATTGATGCTCATGAACTTCCATCTGCGGATCTGTTCTTGCTCACAATTTTTGCTAAGAACACTGCTAATAATGCTCCATGTATCATAAATGTTTTTTTTTTACCGGTATTTGTCATGAGTTAATTTATACACTCATAAGCAGTAGACTTAAATTTGATGATTGGAAAATGTACCGCTGCCTCCGGGAGGGGAAATGTATACATATACATGTACATGTATTCCCAGGAAAGTATCCACACAATATCATTAACTAAATGAGGTTGATAAATCCTTGATGTCGTGTATGCATTTTGAAGTGCATGAACCTACATGTACGTGCACATGGACTGTACATGTACATGGAAAGAATTTCCGGGGGGGGGGGAATTTGTATACAGTATTCCCCATACAGTGGTCTGTGCCAGTTCAGTGTACTGGTGTCACGCGTCCGCTTTGCTTTTTCGTAGAATTTGTCAGCATCCGGCAGACTTTAGGGAAAGTAATTTATGCTCTAGACAAACAAACCAATCTGAAATTGTTACATCCAAGTCCAAACATTGCCCAGTGAGATGGATGCCAGGGAAAGAAGCCATGCCAGCCTGAGATTTGTTGCTTTGCATTTAACTGGAAACCGATTGGGATCGACATGTAGGCCACAAATTGTTTTTGATTTTCAAATGTACAGTGTATGTACTCCAAGTTGCGCTAAAATTTTTGTTTCAGAAACTGTCAAAACTTGGTTCAGTTATGTCCTTAAGATCAGAAATATGTTGAAAATAAAACAAGTTTGATTTGAACAAATGTACTTGTATTGTACATTACGCACCTACATGTACATAATGTACATGGTGTTTACCTTGATAAACTGCTGTCAAGTTAGCGATGTATGGTAGATACATACAACTTGGGATGAGATGACTTTTGACGGCCAGCTATCTGCCAACGTCAGGATGTCCCTCTGTGCTAGTGGAGGTTAGATGAGGGATCGCATTTCCTACCGCGTCTTAGAATTCAAAGAAATATTTGTCACAGTGTGCTTTGGGAGAGTCAACGGTTTGAATTTGGGAGAGACGGGAATGTTCAACTGCTTGACCAGATGTTAAGTTGCTGTCACAATGCACCGTAGCCTCTTCGTATTGTTCGACTGGAAAATGAACACAGTACCAAAAATTTTGGGCCAAAGTGAAAAAAGGGTCCTTTGAAGTTGGAGGAACAAGGCAACAGGGCCATCAACAGATAGTGGAAGCACAATACAACTTGGCATCTTGTTGTGTTGAATTGATGTAGTGCTTGGATTTGTTTTGTCTAGCTGTCAAGTGTTTTGTTTCATCATTTTAATGTAATGTCATTGATTTTTTTTTATTTACCGTAGGTTTTTAGCTAGCGAAATCTAGTGATTGAATTTGAATTCTGTTGGTTGTTTTCAATGTGTTGTTTGTCTTTACTTTTAGTTTGCAGTTTTTCATTTTTCCTGTTCCAGTTGTCTTAAACATATTGCATACTTTGTACAGCACATTTGAACTTTTCAGAAATCGGATACATTGTGAGTGACTAGATTTTTGAATGTCACTTCTTCCATTGGCAAAATTACACATGTACACACAAGTCTTGAATTAATATCGAACGCTGGTTGCCTACTTCGTCATTCAAGCATGTCATGTGACATGCACAGAAGACAATGAGATGAAAAAAGTAATTACTTGCTGAACTAAAAAAGGAAAACAAATACCTGCGACGTGTGTTATATACAACTGTACATGTATCACTGACCACAGGGCTTGTACATTTCCTATAGAGACACAGATCATGTACTCGAATATGATGCATGTGAGTCTAGTTTCTCTGTGTGTGCGTCCTTGTCAGGTCTGACATATGATTTGTAAGTTCAGAACAAATTCTCTGATTTGCTAGATTAATGAACTTACATGTATGCAAACTACCTGCAAAACAACTAGAAATTGTCTATCTCAAATTACCCAGTTCACGTGTAACAGAGGACACCAAAATGTCACACTTTTGGACCCTTAATTCATGGAATTACCCAGATGTCTCTCTAAACAAAACAAGTACATGTGAGTACCGGTACATGTGAATCTGGTCTATTTTAAGAGCATTGCCTGAAATTAAATTTCGTTGAAACAAGGAAATTGTGGGTTGCCTTTTTCTGGAAGCATCAACCGCACATTTTGCTTTTCAGTTTAAAGTGAGATCATAGTCATGTGCAGAAAAGTGGTCAGCCCACATGACCTGTTTGCCACGGCAAACACCAGATTTGCAGCTACTTGTAATTGGGGTGCTGCCTGTGATCCTCACCTGTTCAAGCTCATTGTGAGCCAGTTCCATAATGCAGGATGAAATTCGTTGTGTAACTTCATATGTCTGGTGAAGTGGATGACGGGGCCTCCTCGGTAGATTTAATGACAATTAAAGTGATGGATATTGAATGCTCATCAGTAGTTTGTGCCGAATTAAAAAAGCACAGTAATTGGATGTCTCATGTCGTCAACCGAGCACGTTGATGTGGTATGTACATGTAAGTATCTTGTTGTGGTAGAATAATTAGGCTTGCCCAACGTGTGTGGTGTACAAAAAGGTAGGGTGCATAGGACTCAGGAAATGAGTCCAATCCGCTAATCAATCTTTAATTAATCCTAGTCCTTCGAGTCCAGCCCAGACTGCATACTCGTCCAGGTACTGTACATGTACTGTACGTATGTAATAGACCTGTGCGCTGGGCAGGAATAGCTACGAGAGGACCGGGCCACATCAGATAGCACAGTGCACGCACACACACATGTGCCCTGTACAACATATAATTTCATTGTTGATACTGTCCTGAAATGACATACATGTACACATGCCAGAAATGACATACATATTGAAAATGGCCCTGGTCTTGCCATCTGCTAGCAGGTTTGGTTTTATCACTCCAAACTGTTATGTGTCCCGGTACCAGTAACTTTGTCGATTCCAAACCAGCATTTCTGAGAAACGTCAACCGTCAGTCAGATGCCCTTGAGTATAGAGCACCAAAGTGTGACGTCACTGTGAACCAGAAAGTACAGTGCAAATGAATGGGGTATGCGTGCGTGGTTCTTGCGCCAATGCCTTTTGCACACATAAGTGTGCATGGGACGTATTCACTTTGGTACTCTGTCTAGACTTCCTGTGTGGCTTTCATTTTTGTTGTGTTTTTAATTTTGATTTCCCTTTGATCACTGCACTCCTCAGCAAATGTCTCCTAGCACCAGTGCTTGTAGTTATGTATATGTAAGTGCCAAAAGTTGGCAAAGTGTAGGCCCGTGACTACATGTCATATTTCTTCAGCCAATATGCAGTGACACTGATGATTCGTGGGTACATTCAGAAACCATTCAGACGCACATGTATTCATATACTGTATGTTGATGTGATCACATTAATTCCAGTCGGGGATTTCAAACAGTTTTTTAAAGATTTCTTCAAGTCATTGTTTAGACTTTACTTAAATTTCCCCACCCCCATGACCTTTGAATCACATCAGGAGAAAGTCTTTCTTCGCTGAAGGGCCATTAGGACTGGCACAGTATTTTTGTTAAAAGCTCTCATCGGCATCTTTCAGCACTTCCTTTTTAACTTCCTTCATTGCAGTTTCACGAGGTGGACTTTTAAGGGTCTGTGCAGTGCAATTTGTTTTTGCTACCAACCTTAAAAATTTCTGTTTTGTTTTGTGGTTTAAATGGTATTGTGCTGAAGAAAACACAGACCCTTTTTAATCTAAAAAAAACCATAACTTTCTAATACTCCAAAAGAAATGACCATGCATTGAAGAAGAGTTTTAAGTAACACAAAAAGTATGCATGAGAATTTTATCTCCTGGCCCCTTCAAACTGGAGGTAATAAGCATTTGGAATTTGGGTCAGCAAGACTGTTTTTAGCAGCCATCATACATGTACATGTACTGTACCAGTGTAACCTGAACTGTGGAGCAAAGAATAATGGGCTCCAATGGTATGGCAAGCTGCCAACAGGCCATTCCTGGCAATCAAATTGGTGCCAAAGCCGGCTGTCACACTGCATAAAGGCTAATGATCCTCTTCCGTAAACAAAAAATGGCACCTGAGTTCTCTCTCTTGGCCCTGTCATCCTACTCTTGTTGCTCATGACTGCTTTTTTGTACTTGTAGACTGGGGAATGGACAGTGTTTGATATGACACGTGTACAATGTGTGTGCTGGTTCAGTGACAAATTACATGTACATGCACAGTATGCCAGCAAGACATCTGCTTCTTGACCTCCAGCATCCAGATTGTGACTAATTAGTGGGAATCTGCTATTTACACCATTGGTAGGCTACAGCTGCCCGCAAGACTGGTGTCCTGCCATATCAGTAATAACTGCTGGTAGCTTTGGAGAGTATTATTAGAGTATGATGTAATGCCTCTTCTGTTTTTTGGATGCAGTGTGTACATATTTGTTAGTTTTAAACATTCAAGCCAACCCAAAGTTGTGCAAGGATTAAGATTACAAGAAGAATTCTTGAAAATTGAAGAACTCTTATCAAATTGTATTAAATGGGGATATCTACATGTACGTAGAGGAGCAGTTCATGCGTGCCCCAAATCTATAAATTGATGAAAGTCAATGCATACCTTCCAGTTTAGTCACATGACGATGGCTGTTCAGTACCAGACATAAGGATCTCTCAAAATACCGTAGCCAATCCAATCATCAGTCTCAGTCTTGTTTTTTACAACCTTGGGCACAGAATGCTAGTCATTCAGAGCTTAAAATACTCTTACTTGTCATTTGGCCTATGCAGAAGATCATACCATGATCTAGATGTCAGTCCCTCTTTCCCATTTTTTACATGTACAAAAAAATTGTACCTACTTTGTACCTGTAGGACTTTGAAAATGGAAGGCAATATACATGTACATGTACACTTACATGTACATGTACATGTATTTTACAGTGCTGTAAGCTCTCATGACGTTTTGTAGCCATCAATTTCTTTAATTAACAGAGTTTTCTGAGAGTTTGTAAGTTTTTTGCACATGAACTGGTATACGTTCAATCTTACCCAAATTAATTAAAAAACACACCAAAAATAAAAAAAATACTCAATCCCAAAACTAACTTCTTCAAATGATTACTCTAATGATTTTATTAAAACCTGAGACAGTTGTTCATTATGTAATAAAGAAAGTGCCTCTGGGCATTTCCATTCAGAAAGGGAAAGTTTGTGATACTGTGACTGACCTCATTCGTTTTTGTAACTCATGAACAAAAATGAGTTTTTACCCCCAAAAACCTGTTTCGGGGAATTAAAAGCCCTTGTACATGCTTCTTGTGTCCTCTGCCCTATTCCCCCAAAACTTCTTTTTGTTAAAAAATTAACCTATTATAATGAAGTCATTGGATCATTGTAATGAGCCTTCTCCAAAAAAAAAAAAAAAAAGCTGAGATTACTTTCCCCCTTTTCCCGCCCGCTTTCTTCTTTTGGGCAGGAATTCTCCAAGATCTACCAGCAGTACTTTCCAAGCGGTGATGCCACCAAATTCGCTTCCTTTGTTTTCAATGTCTTCGACGAAAACAACGTGAGTCTTTGAGTTATTTTCGGAGGCCACACTCCTTGATCCAAATACCACACGAAACCCTACCTCACGAACTGCAACAAATTATCTCTGACACTCGAGCCCTGCGTGAGGATGGCCATGAAAATCATTTACCCACACTCCTAATTTTGAATCGCACTCTGTGGATGGGTCAGATATCAGAAACCAAATATTTGGCAAAAGATAAAACTTTCTGCATAGTGTTCATTACGAGCTCCAGTCAGTTGTTGTGCACAGCACAAAAATTGGTCAGTAGAGTGATGTCATGTAGAAAATGGCCCTTGTGGTTCCATGCTGTCGTGTACACATAAAACTGTTCAAAAGCTTCAACAATTGAATTTTTTTTTTTTCAAATTGAGATTGTTCAGTTGTACCTCTGGGTTTCGTGTGAAGGGTCTTCGTGTTGCTACTCGTGAGACTGTATCATTGCTGCCTTGATACATGAATGTCTTTCCCAAGGGCAGATTTGCCCAGTAGGCCTAAGTGTAACATTGAATTCTTTGTCCGCTTCAGGCTTATTTGTGTGTGGGTTTTGGGTTTTTTGTTTTTTATCAAGATGTATTTTTTTTTTTTTTGTTATATATAATTTTTTGTTTTTGTTTTGTGCTTGTACATTCTTTGGGATTCTGAGTATGTACAAAAAGACCAGAGCCAAGCAACTGTATTTTTATAGGTTCAAAGTTTTTACCAAAAACACCTTAGGAACTGGGGAGTACCAAAGTGACTTCGTACATGTAGTGACTGTGTCCTCAGATGTCGGAAGCTTACGTTGATGTTTTTAACTGACGTATTTCATGCAATTTAGAGACATAGATAGTTGCACACAAAGAAACATTTTGGAATACAAAATTTATTTCAAGGCACCTAATATGCAGTGTTGTGCTGAGAAGTTACAGGTATTTAATAATATCAAAGAGTCCATGCAGTGGAACTACAGTATTTTACTGCAGTCCTTGAAAATCTACCTTTGCACTTCAATTAATCTCATTTTTTAGTTTTGTGTAGCCATTTGAAAAAATGAGAGAAAATTTCCATAAATTCATGAACAAATGTGATGTTGCCCTAGGTTCGAAACCCCAGTGTTACGTTGATTTGTGCACAGAAACTGCTGAATTCTATGAAACTTTGTAGTCCAGAATCTTGTCTGTTGTGAGTTGTTGATGTGTAAAGGCATACATGTACCGGGTAGCAATAAGCCAATGATCGAGCCTGTCTCAGAAATGAGTAAACTTTGGGGTGTCTGAGAAAAATCCATGGCACATGTACCCTTGAATTGTACAATGGCATGCCATGAGAATAGGCCTCTTTGCTTTGTAACTCTTGCAGCATGTACTGAGTGTAACATTTATCATGCTGAGTAAACGAAGTGGCTGATTTTTCCTTAGGATGGAGCCATAGAGTTTGCTGAATTCATCAGGGCGTTATCCGTTACGTCCAGAGGAAATATTGACGAGAAACTAGACTGTGAGTAGCACATTATAAAACAAATATCCCCCACGTTAATTGAATGAATCCTCCCACTTCATCACTGGTAATTCCATGTGAATGTCGTTCCGGGCATTGATTTTGTTATTTCTCAGAAAATGATTAATATTGGGCATTGTGTACGTCGTAACAGTGATGTTGGAAAATAATTGACGTCAAGAGGCCCCCGTCTTTACAATATGTGTATACATGTACGTGTACTTGATGCGTGATAACTTTTTGTTTGTGGCTTCAGTAGGTTTTTGTTCCTCATTGCAACCCCACCAAAAAGGCAAATCATAATAGCATCAGTCTGTTACCAGGGCAATGCAACGCTTCACTTGACTCTGATGAAGTCCAGATTTCAAAGGAAATGTGGGTGATAAAGGAAACCCTCAACAAAGAGATGACACCAGAGGTTTATACTGTACATGCACATGTAGGTCATAATTACCTACATGTACCACCATATGATAGAACAGGAAACATTATGAAAGTCCCTGTTAATATGTCTGGTATCCATGGAATTATCCTGTATTTTACCCATGTGTTATGCACATGTACATGTATATCGTAAACGTTCATTCTGCTGTGTCAACTGGAACATGTTCAATCTGGAGTACATGTTCTCAGGAGGATCATACAAACAACCAAATACATGTATTGCTCGTGTACATGTATTTTACACATGCTTTAAGATCATTAGGGACTGATACAAATGCTACATGACGTGATAATGTATTTGTCTTGGGCAACAATATCCTAGTGAAGAACAACTGGGTGAGACATGCATGAAACTTTCCTTGGTTTGTGGTCGATGTCTGACATCCCTCAACCGTCATTCCTCGGACTTTTCCCTTTTTTATTCTGGGAACCAAACCATGAATCATCCAAAATTCCCCCTCTACCAAACACCATTGACAAACTCTTGCAGTCATAATTTTCAAGTGGTATCTGCCCTGATTTCAAGGTACAGTCACAGGGCTCCCTCTCCCCCCTCCCATCTTGCTAAACCTCCTGGTAGAAAATCAGGGGAAAGCTAAGGCCGCTGTGGGTAAGGATTAGTATTGAAAGTCGTATAATATTATAAAGCCAAGTGTTACCGAAGCTACAGTACCTAGCAATCGAAAGTGAACTTAGGAATGGGAAATTCTCTTTTCACCATTTCTCCTCCTGGAGAATTCATTTCCATTTCACAAAAATGTGAAAACAGTTTCCCACTGTGGGAAAACATTTTATCACCTTTTCATACAAGTGGGAAAAGATTTTTGCACCCCGTTTCGCACAAGTGAGAAAACATTTTCATTCTTTGCCACACAAGTGGGAACATGTTCTTAGGCCTTGTGACTCTCAACATGACACTGTTTTCTCACTTCTGATTTCCCAGTGCCATTCACAGTCTTAACCTTCAACTGAATGTGCTGTACGTGCACTTGTAAGGAAAATACCGCCAAGTGCTTGTACATGTACATGTATGATTGGGATCCCTCATAGACCTGTCTAATTTTCTTCTGTTGTTGAACTGTTGTTGAACCTCTAGGGGCATTCCGGTTGTATGACCTGGACCATGACGGCTTCATCACCCGGGACGAGATGCTGAACATCGTGGATGCCATCTACCAGATGGTTGGCAACATGGTTCGCCTTCCAGAGGAGGAGAATACGCCCCAGAAGAGGGTGGACAGAATATTTGCCCTCATGGACAAGGTTAGACCTAAAAAAAAAATTCCCCTCCAGTCAAGTCAGGCAAGGGCATTGAATGTCGTGCACTCTTCCTCTGTATTTGCCTGTGCTGAAATTAAACCTTGCAGGTGTCTTGTAAAATAATTGCAAACTACGTTGTAATTGCTGCTAGATGCGCACTGTATGCTCCATGCTTAAATGGGGGAAAGTGCTCTGTTAATAACAGAGGAACAGTGTGCGTTTACAGGCCAACACATTCTGTGTGTGCATTCTTTCCATGCATATGGTGTAGAGCATGGCCAAGTGATTTTCATCCAGTAACAAATCACTTTGTAAATTGGTGCTCCCCACCAGTGGCATCAGCCAAACCTCTCTGTTTGTCACTGGCTAGGGTCCTCTCTTTGTCTAAATAATTGTTGAAATCATAAAAAGTCCTGTTTACGTAATATAAAATAGGCCTAAATGACCGCATGCTTTCACCTTATTAATGGTTTGTAAGATGCCAACCCTTCCTCGAGACCAGTTGGTCAGAATTAAGGATTCACGTTTTTTGAGGGATGAATATCTTCCAGTCGTATTGTCTTGCTTTGCAGAACAAGGACGACAAACTGACAAAGGAGGAGTTTCAGAATGGTTCCAAGGAGGATCCGACCATCGTGCAAGCATTGTCACTCTACGACGGCCTTGTATGAAGATGTACATGCAATTAAGAGAGCTAGCTGCAAATATTGAAGTGTGCACAAGTTTCTGACATCTAGGGACAGGATGTGTTTAATGCCCAGAGTCTGGGCTTAAGTCGGAATGTTGAAAGATACAAAAAACTTAAATGTACAGTGTATTTTGAAATCTACGGTAGATGACATCTCAGGCAATTCTGCACTTCTTTCCTGGAGTATTCACTTCCTTTAGTTCAAAGTTCCCATGTCATCCTCATCACTGGATTTTTTTCACTTAACACGTCAAGACTAGGCCTGGGAGGTTGGGGGGATGTTGGAAATTAAACGAGGAAGCGACGTCTTGACGAGATTACTGACGAGAGGCTTGAACTGAAAAGGTACATGTACATGTATGTATTGTAGGAAATGCAACATGCTTCTTTGTGTCCATGGAACTGTCCTTCCATTGATTGTTGGTAGATGTTGTGGAATTTTAAACTCAAGTAGCAAGAAGCACTATTCACTTCAGTTAAGAGAACAGAATGACATTTGGACACACAGTGGTGCTGTGTGAATACTTTTACCAGTAAAAAGACCACAGATGTGCTAGTTGTAATGCCAACTTAAAGTTGCATTTTTTTAATGGTTTGAAAAATACTTTTACTTTGCTAAGTATGAATCTTAATGAGGATGGGAATGAAATGAAGCTAATTTATCTCTTTTTTCATTGCCAGACTTGAAAAAAGGTGTTTATAGTTAAAGATGTCAGTTTTGTCCCCGACCACTACCCTGGCTTCATCTGATGAGGATTTGTTTTTCTCTGTCGCGGGAGGTGGCAAATGTCATGACCTGTATTGAGATGAAATCAAATCTGTACCGAGTTCTGACATTTGAATCACTCGGTTCCAAACTATTTTGTGCCTCATCAGCAAATCACAATGAACTTGTGTGTATTAACGATGCTCATCACTGTGTTTGACCTACAACGATAGTCACCCCTTTCGTGGAAGTCCACCCGAGGAGAGAGAGAGTTTATTATTCATCTCACGTACTGGCATTTGCAAAAACCTGTTTCGGTGCTTTCTCTCGGTGTGAAATTCAGCCTTGGCTGCGAAGTCCAACATTTTTATTGTATAAATGGTACACGGCATAATAGCGGTCACTAATGAGAGTGAGTTGAGGGTGTGCACAGTGGTCAGTACGCACAGTCGTGTTTAGCTACTGTATCCCACAGAGGCATACAAAGCATTTCATTTCCTATTGTCCCCACTGGCTGGCATTCTCCTATAGACTAAGCACAGAC